AAAAGTAACACATAAACGACAGCAATAAACGTTTTTTTTTCATTGATTGTACACAATTATAGTTAATGTACTTTTCGTTTGCTTTTGCAGAAGACGGATCGTATATAAATACGGCTATAAAAAAGTTTCCAGCTTAGTAAATTCAAGCAGAAATCTGCAGAGCGTTTCAATTATTAAAAAATCAGTGACGAATTAATGCTAAAATAATTTTTTTTTTTATCTATTTAAATAAAAGCAATAAATCTTTAGACGATCTAAAATTATAAATAATAGAATAATTCTTCTTTTTTTTGGCAGTTACTATTAACAACAGTTTAATAATAAGTTGTATATAAATTTGCTAATAAATGTACCTAAATTGTTGAATAATAATAATTGATAGATAACAATAATAATTTTTGATTACTGCAGAAAACTTGTAGTGGATGCGTTCAAAAAACGTAGTAGCTTTGAAACAAAATTTTTTTTTGAAACAAGTTTAAAGATTTTACCGAAATTAATATACCAGTCTTCTTTTTTTTCTAGGGAGGAACGGAACTAGGCTGGGAAGAGGAGGAAGAGCGTAGAAAAGGGTTTCAGGACACAAAGAGGAGTTTTGGTATGCTTATGACGACAACAAAATTCTCTTCTTTCTTTGCTTGTTATTTTCGGTTTGGGCATAAATATTAGAACTTTAATATTATTCCAAAAAAAAAGGAAACTAAAAAACGTTGGTGTAACAAGCTTCTTTTTTTCTTTGCCAAATTTGAGGTATTTAAAAACTGTAACAAGTTTATTAGTTGATATATCAGAAAAGATTGCAGAATAATAAAGATGCAAAAAAAAATAGTATAATATATTACGTATTATGATTGATCGACTATTTAAGCTGTAAGAGTAGAGCAAAAAATAAGGAGAAGAGAGAAAAAGAATATTTGTTCGATTAGTTGCTTTTATCAGCATACATTTAACCTGTTTGATTATTAGTCATGAAACAAATATTACTTGTCTTATTAGTTGCAGGCTACTCTCTGCAGAATCTCATCATCCAGGTTTGAAGTTTATGTCAATCTCTGTTTTTTAAAGTAAAATGGGCGACAAAACTGTTCTTTTTTAACTGGTAAAAGGCATTCCTGTAACAAGAAATTATTGATGCTACTCATTCAGCTCGTTCCAGCTATTTTAAAGTGCTTCGTTAATTACTGCATTCTATTTTGAGCGCTATATTTCTGAGCTTTGTTCTTTACTACCTTAATCATTTTGATAAACCATTAAAAGTAAACTTGTTTGCAGTGTTTGATGATGTCTTATATTCATCCTAGAATAGTTCTTTTTTCTCACCACAAATTAGATAAAATTGTAAAAAGTGGAAAAAAGTGGAAATGAAGTACTAAAGAAACTAAACCAAGTACAGATGGTTAACTTTGGTTACATTCAGGCTACCAGTTCCACTGTTTTCATTGTACTTATAAATTAAAATTGCCGTTCTAACAACTGTGTTTGATTGTTTAATCAATCAGTCTTACTAACTGTTTTTCAAAAAATTTCCTGAAATTTTTTCTTTTGTCTGAAAGTTTGTTTAAATAATTATGGCAAATATTGTGAACGATCGAACAACATTGTTAATGTTGTCGAGGCAACGATAATTGAAAGCTTTAGAAAAATAGTTTATATAGTAAAGCAAATTAGTTTTCTCGCCAAACCTACAAAAACTTTACATAGTATACAACAATGCCATAACCTTCTCAGTATAATTTTGCATCACTTTTGTCACCCGGTAAAATTCCATAAACGGTTTCACTGTCTTATTCTCCTTATAATAAAGTTTTTAATAACCATACTAAAAGTTTCATTTCTAAGACTGCTTTTAAGATATCTCTGCCTGGAAGAGACAAAAGATAAAACAGATGAAATGGTCAAAGCCTTCTTAAGTTTTGTTTTGTAATGTTGTGATAGCCAAAAATTTTCACAAGACAAAGCAAGGCACCAGAAGGCTCATATAATAATCAGCTACTCATCGTGATTTGTAGTTCAACTTTTTTTTGGTAGAGTTCACACACTAGGTTAAAGCCAATTTTTTCTAATGCTCAACCTTGCAAATGCCTTTTTAGACAAAACGGCGATGTCTATATTCAGTGTTCAATGGATTTGCATTGTTTTCTACAGAATATCTAAAAAACTATCCGGTCACTGGAAACTTCACTCACAGAATGTCTAATGGATACTTAACAATTCAGTTTTCAGAAGTGGCTAAAACCAGTGTTCATTTAGCTTCCTTAAAGTTTAGTAATAGTTCTTATAAATTAAAGGTACTATTTTTTCAAGTATAAAAGCTTCAATATTGTTTTCATAAACTACTTTTTACCTTTCTTTTAGACAAATTATCATTTTCTGACTTTTTGCATTAGTAGGCAGAAGACGTCAGCATGAGCCTGAAGGGATTTTGGACATACAACCTGCAAAAGAAGAAGGAATTTACATTAAACATTGAAAGCACAATTTTTACAATTGGAAATTTGGTGCCAAAAAATTATGATGGTTTGCTCTATATTAGCAGGTTTCTAGACTGGTAAGTGTTGCAGTGCACAATTCTGACGACTTCTGTTGTATGTTAGTTCCAGTTTTTTCTTATGGAGTTTATAGGTAAACCTGTAATACAACAGCAACCACATCAACAACAACAACAACTTCCACTACTACTAAATGTCCAAATTTAGTGATATGCAGTCGAATTCTTTTTCATATATTGTTGAAGAGCCAGGATACTTTACAAACAATTTTGTTCACTTCGTTCGTCAAGTTATCGATGGTGCAAAAATCGCCGACATTTTCTGCAGTTTACTTGTAACAGCTATGGACGCATATTTGAAGGAAAAAATTGAGCAGTTATCTTTTCGTCATTCACTGTCATCGGGTCCCTAATTTTATTCGATATTTTCCATAGTTCTAAACAACAGTCATTTGGTAATTGATATGACGTTTTTAGGAGTTGTTTTGGACAATATGCTGTCAAAAGATCCTGTCGTTTTACCTACTGGAGACCTAATTACTTTTCATCGAGGAACCACTGAAAGAGCTGATGAACAGAAACAGTTTGAAATTCCACCTTCAAATACCACTTTTGACATTACATATTTCCTCAGTAAAGAACTTGTGGAGAAAGTTGCTTCAAATATGTTTTTTACGCATGTACACAACAAGTAAGCAGAATCATATTCCCACTTGGCTTTATTTTTTCATAAAAATGTTTCCCATTTTCTTTATCTATTTTAAGCAAAAAAAAGTTGCACTTTCTTAAACTTTTTTTCAAGACTGTCACTAGCTTTTGCGCCAGTGCCTAGTTCTAAACCAGAATATTGATCTACTACCATCAAAAATCAAAAGCTGTATTTTTTCATAATTTTTTCTTTTCCAGTCTCTCTCATCTGTGAAAGCTGTGCTTCTTGAATATCTATTAAAAAAATCAGCTTTGGCAAATTTTATTGAGTAAACCGCATTTAATTACAAAAGTTAGTAGATCAATAGTAGATCAATTACAAATTTGAAACACGATGAATTCAACAGCAAAAAAGAAGCAATAATACATATACACAGAACACTTCGTGATTCTTCCGATGGAACGCTTAAACTTTCTGCTGAATCGCAACCGAAAGTAATCATAAATACTTCAAAAAATCAACTGGGAATCATGGCATTCAATCATTACTTGATCCGACAAAACGAGACAACACTTTATGATGATGCACACGATATTGTCTTGAATATTAAACCGTTTTTCAAGTAAGTATTACATTATCACGTCCCTTAACAGTCACAGTAGATAAGAAAATTTTTAGTTAATAAACCAGAAGCTAAACTATTTGCTTGGCTCAAACGCATAAATTTCTGTCAATTTGAACAAACTTTTGAAAACAATGAATACCATTTTCAGAGGAAAGTTTCGCATTGGCTTTCAATTGGCACAAAATACGAGTTTTAATTTTCTGAGCGAAGAATTGAGGGAACTGTACAAAGGCGAATTAGAAGAGCTCTTAAAGAGCTACATTGAAACTCTGTCTATTCCACTGCCATCAGCAGAATACCTAACCATCAAGAGGAATATGACCAAATTAACAAAATCTTTTATTATTTTTGCAATTAATTATAGCATTCTGGATAAAAATAATCGTTGAGCGTAACTCTTAGCAAACTATGTATCTCTAATGCAATTAAACATTTATTATCTTTATAAAAATAATTGTACGTTATAAAAACAATGTACGCAGCTCAAACACCTCACAGTAAATTTTCACTCTGCTTAATGTTTTACTGAAGAAATGAACAAAAGATTATAAATAAAATGTGTCTTCAGTGGTAGATTGAAATAGCTGGTACTGTTCAACACACTAACCGACAGTTTAACGAGGCCTATTACGTAATTTCGATAGGAAATTCGCTCAGGGCAAAGCAATGATTGTACAAACCAAAAGTAAACAGAAAATTTTCCGATGAAAAGCTGTGATAGCAAGCTGATCAGAAATATGAACAATGAAGCCAAAGCAAAAATTGATAAATAGTTTGTCTGAGCGAACATCCAAAAGAAGTTACTTGCTTAAACATAACGCTAAAACCAAAAGACGATTAGAATCACCTCTATCAGATTCTTCATCACCGTCGCTGTTGAAGTTTTTTCGACGTCAAACCTGACCATCTTCGTCTGATCTGCTAGCCTATATAGACTGATTGTTGTACGTTCTGCTAACATTTGAAATTAAGCCCTATATTACTCCTTCTAAGTCACTTTTTTTGTTTCTATATCTTTGAATTTCTGTTGGTTTTTGAATTTCAGCGGCCAACTTTTTGATATATTTTATGTCTTGTTTTATTGTCTTATTGCTGCTTTTTGATCATTTTTTCCGTGTTTTCCACCTTTCAACCGAAGGATTTAATCATCGCCGGCATTGGCACAACTTAATTCGAGTGTTGCAACGTGTAGGTTTCTTAATTTCCCAACAAACGCTTAGAAGATGTTTTGTTGTTGCAGTATTTGATTGATGCCTGACGCAATGGAACAAATCAGCAAAGCAGTTTCCAACTACTTTTTTCGAAAGCTCGGAGGACGATTTTGAAAAGGTACTTATCATTAGAAGAGGAAACCAAATTGAAAAGCTTGTTAAATGTGAAGTAATAGGAGGCACACAGATCACAAACGAAGATCATAATCATTTTCATGAATTCTTAAAGTTACTCTTTAAAGAATGAGCATTGATACCATGACCACTAAACTGCCAACACTGTGAACGTCACGGTTTTTCAATTGCAAACAAAATTGAGGATATTCAGAGAATATAAAAAACAAGAAAAATTCGACCGAAAACGGTGAGGAGACTACAACATTTTAGTGAGTCATTGAACTTCCATTCTATTTTATAGCAGACATAGGCGAAATTCGGGATTGAGAAGAAATTAGCAGAACTAATTCAGCAACTGAAAAGAAAGATACCAAAGTAGTGGAACTTTTTAAGGACTTTATTTACTTTGTGCACAAATGACTTGTAACACAAAAAGCAAAAAAAAAGCTCTAATTCAACGAGTAAACGTGGATTATCCAGCAGGTTCTTCAAGAGCTCATTTAAAAATTGAGAAAATGGAAAAGAGGAGCAATCACATTTTACAGTTTAGTTGTGTTCTAATAAATAGAACGATGACTGGAAAAAACTCTTAACAATAGGAAAGTGGAATCTTTGGTGGCAATTGAACCGTCTGGTTTGTTTTTTCTTAACACTCGTTCAGCCATTAGAAATTTCACGCCGGCACAATTTTCACTTCAATTAAGGTGAATAACTCATAGAACTTTAAAAAATTTATCCTACTTTTCAGTTAGATGTAACTGGTAAAAATAACAATGTTGGGAAAAAGTTTCATGTCTTTCAAGAATTACCTTTTGTTTCCAAAGCTATTTGGACCTTAACTTTGTTGACGCTATGACTGAAGAACATAACAAACGCTGCAGCTTGGATGCATTTAAGTGGTAAGTTTGAACTTGCAGAATGAGGAAATGTACTTGACTGTAAGGTATTCAAGGCCATGTAAATAAATCTACACGTACTGAATTTTAATACATGACTATTCCGGGAAGGAACAGATTTTTGCAACGTCTTAGAACCAGAGGACTACAGCTGGCTGGACCTTAAGTCCAGCAGTATGTTCAAGTCTACAAAATTTTAGTAATTCAGCTTGCTGGTCATAATTTGATAATAACTTTTCCTGCCGTCTTACCATTATTTCAGCTCAAAGCTGTTTGCTCAACAAATGCATAATATTTTACTATTTTTCATAAAATAGCTTGAATCTTTCAGTAGAGGAAACGTTGTAAAGGTTTGAAGAATAAATAATCACTAGAAAAGGTGGTTGATAAAAAGTGCGTATACGGTGAAACAGATGGGTTATACGCTGCAGACTGCACTAAGCAAGAACTAAAGCAACTGCTGATGGAATCACTAGTTTCCACAAACCATCTATTATTCCTGCAAACACATTTCCTTCAATAAATTCAACTATCATCTTTTTTTAGTTTGTTTTTTGGTTCTCTACTGGAACAGTGGCATAATTAAGTTTATTAAGTCCATCTGAATAATAAGCCAAGAATTTTTTTGACTGAATAGTTTAGAGAAGCCTATTCACAACTGGTAAATTATCAACAAAATTTGTACTCCTGGTAGGCCAAAACTAAATAGATAGGAAATGAACAGTATATAAAAAGTTCAAGTGTTCTTTATATGATAAACTTTCAACATTTTTCGACTTGTTGTTCCAACTTAAGTAATAAAAACTGATAAACTTTAAAAAGTTTTTTACATTACATTTAAAATTTTTGAACCGCTTTGTTATGCCATTTCTGATGTGCCGTTCTCGTCTCAAACTTTTCAGTTTCTTACCGCACACTACATTTTCTTCGTAAAATTTCTTCGTAAAAAGAACGAAAAATTAAGCACAATGTTGAACACTTTATAGAACCACAGTGCGTTTTATGAGCACAGGTCATCAGACTTTTCTGACTTCTCTTATAAAATTGCATCAACATCAGGTAAATGTATTCTAAAATGTCTAAGCTTAATTTCTTTCTGCAGAAGCACTGAGGAGAGGAAAATGAAAAGCAATATTTCTTTGGCTCTTTATATTATCAGTACTTTACTATGCGACACAAAGATCTGGAAAGACTGTTTTATCCGACGTATATAAATGGTCTATAAAGTTTGTCCAAAATACCTTGATGAGTTTACTTTATTTTCTAATTAATAAGTTTTCATAAAATTCTACAAAATATTTGGTCGAGTGATACCAACAGCGATAGATAATTTGTTGTTCAAATAAATTTGAGGAACTTCTCGGTTTGTGACTGTCACGGCGCACCGCAAACATTCCCTTTATTTCTGACCTTGAAATATACCAAAATACTTTGCTTTGAGTAAAAATTTAATTTGCATAAACAAGCAAAGAATAAACAACCATTGGCAAGCCGACCTGATATGCAGTAAGACAGATAAATCTTCTAATGCAAGATGCGTTTTTTAGGTTTGAACAATAAATAATCACTTCAGTCTAGTCTAAAGAAATCGTAGAATAAATTCAGTACTTATCGCCTTTAGCCATTCTAAAAACAAGAAAGTTAAAGATTACCAGTCATCACTTCGTGAACTTCTAAGACTCTCTAAAAGCGGCAGTTCTGTAGGACACCAGTGAGCTGTACGTTCTTTCTTCGTTAGCAACGCCAGTGAAGAACGCAGCAGAACTTAGCGAAAAAGAAGAAAAAGCAACGACGTTTTCCACAACTTCTCACCGAGTAATTATGTCAGAACGTGTAAGATTCAAATTCTATGAAAGCGACACAGTTAATAAACTGGATTACACGAGATAAGCGAAACTGCGTACTATAGTTGCCAACGACTAAAGTTAATCATTAACAGTAGCGACAAAAATTATTGATAAGAAAACAGAGTTATTAACCAGTACAACAGCTGATTGAACGATTGAATAAACAGGAATATTCTAAGAGAGAGCACTTCAGAACGCCTTAAGAACAACTCTAAGAGCCACGAAGCAGGTATTGGTGTCCACAAAAAGGTTTATCAAAGGCTTATTTTAATTCTTTTTTGACGTTTTTAATTGATCACATTAGGAAAATTAGCTGGAAAAATTGAACAAAACTTACATCTTATTTTTCAAATAAGAATTTTTAGAAACGTATTCAAAACATCTTTACGATGATCAAAATTACAAAAAAGTTATAAAATACGAGCAATTCGGACTATAACGTGGCTACCTTAAAAAATGTAAAAAAATGGTGATTGGAATAAATGTACTTTTTAAGGTTTTCTGTTGTGGTTTTTACGCTTTATAAATATGTAAATAAGTAATTCAAATAATGTAAGACTGAAGAAAGTTTAAAATATTTGATACACAAAATGCTTTTGATATGTAATAAATCTTAAAATTTGTGTTTTTGTTACAAATGAGAAAGTTTTTTGCAAAATTACACTGCTATTATAGTACCAAATGCAGTATGTGTCTCTCCTGCTGCAAAATATTAGCCATTTTGATTTCATTTTCTTTTGTGTCAGAACTGTCACTCAGTAACCTTGATAATCCCCAGAAGCTTTATGTGCTTAACTATATTTTTTTTTCTTAAAAAACAAAGCAAAGCTTACCAGTTATTCTCCACTAAAAATGAAAATATCAACTCTGTTACGTAAAAACATTTCTTTTATTCTTCTATATTATTTTTGTTAGCCGATTGGCTTATTAAACACTTTTTGTTATCTGATAACTTTTTATTTTTGACATTTTTTTAATACGCTTCACATTTTTCAATAAAAATTGGTCTCTAACTCAATGCGGTATTTCAACTTCATTAAAATTAGAATTTTTTTCGTGTTTTTTGCAAAGTTAAGCAGCAAATGCAGTACCTATACAGGTGACTAGCAAAAGCAAATGTTCTTTTTATTTCTTCTGCTAATAGTATTATTTCGTAGCAATAGACGATCAAGTATCGACCAACATACCTCTAATAAAAAAATCTGAGATACTGAGTGAGAAAGTGTGCTATTTGACGTAAACTAGCAAACAGGTATTTTGCGAGAGAGAAAAGATTTAAAAATGAGGTCTTTGTTTTTATTAAAAAATATATCACAAATTTCTATTTCAACATAATCTGTTAAATTGCTTGGTTTGTTCAGCCAATAGATTTTAGCTAATTTTTTTGCGGATTACTTTGGCTTCAATTGTACCAATAAAAATTCTTTTTTCTAAATTGTTTCAGACAACTATGATCGCAAAATGGAAAACGACGTTTACTCTGTTATATGTATTTCTGAATATTCAGATACTGTCATTGATTTATGACGGCAGTTTCTTTTTGAAAAACTATACGATAAAACATATTTTATCGGTTGGTGATTTATTTTTTAGGTCAATTTTAACACCTCTTCATTTTTTAAATAAATGGTTTTCTAAGAAAATTTTAGAGAAGTTTTTGAAAAAACCACCTTTTACTGTTTTAGATTTTTTGTGAAGTTAAAATTTGAGGATAATTGCAAAAATAGGTTTTTCCGCTTTTTTTGCGCAGAGAAAGATATAGAAACTACTTTATTGCTTTGCTGCTTATGACAAGGAATCAAAGTTTGAAGAAGTAGACAAGGACAAACATTGTTTCACTAATATTTGATAATTTTTGGCAACTGATTCGATCTACGCATAAAAAGTGTGCCATAAAAAGCAGTTAAAGATCATCTATTGGAAGTTGTTTATAATTTCTAAATACTCAAGTTTTTTAGAATTTTTCTGTTACACCTTCATTGAAAGCTCATGTAACGTTAAAGGGAGAAAATGCTGCAGGAGAGAGTCAAAACGAAACAAGTCCAAATGCGACAGACAATTTTAACCCGAAAAACACCGTGAAACTTTTGAATTCTTTTATTGGTGTTGTTGCAAAATTTAGAATGAAAAGTTGAGGATTCTTTATGAAAGAATATAAATTCACCCGCAGCGCGTTTCACTGTGAACCAAATTTAGCGTGTAAAGTTACTCATTAGGCTTTTTTTAACAAGGTTTAGCAAAAATTTCTAGGCATTAACACCAGTAGTTGTTGAATAATTAGGATCACAATTGTCAGATTGTGGACAGCAGTGCTAACATTATTTCAGAAGATCTCTCTTTATGATTTTTTTACATTATTTTTGTTCTACTTTTGGCAAAATTAATGATTAAGAAAGCACGTAAAAGTTAACAGAAAAATGAGAATAAATTTGCTATTAGTAAATCCTTCCCAATTTTACAACTTTTGATAGTTTACTACAATTTTAATCTTACTATAAACAAATTATATAATTTATCTTCTCAATCTTTTACAAAGACTGTTTGCACATTCTGACACTAGATGACCAATGTCAATTTTGGTTTACCAGTGGTTTTGATTACTTGCAGTACATTCTCACTGAATGTATGAGAGTTTCGAACATTTTAGAACGAGTCACCAGACCGTAGAGTATCTTTTCTTTAATAATCTGCGAAGGTGTCTGAATATTTCAATTTTAGTAAACTTCGCCACAATTAGTTAAGGCAGCTTTAAAATACCTTCGATATATTGCATAACTGCTTTTTGACAACTGCTTTTTCTCTCGGCTTCTTTTCCTTTGTCTACTGTTCCTTCCACTCGCTCCCAGCGATAGTTGCCTACAAAAGAATAGCAAATTTTGAAAAGAAAATTAAGTACAAAAATCTACACCCAAGACTCGCTACAAGTTTCTCAAGTTTTCAGTTTGCAATACAAAAGTATAGGCAGATGTTTACTATGTTTTTGATTCCCAGAAACTCTTCAAAAATTATTTCCTTCAGCAAAGCGAAATATCAAAAACTATAGACCTAAACGTTATCTTCCTTTTAACCCTTACTAGTCTTGCTTTTTCAGATCTATTTTAAAGAAGCTTATCTGGTTGATCTTGACGAAATAAGAGTTACTCTGATAATAAGGTGTAATTATTTTCCCAAAATGTCGCTTCAGTTTGGAAATAAAAAAGTGGTCTCTTTATATTTGCACTCGCTGCAAGACTGCATTTTCCCGTAGTTTGATTACCTTTTTTTAATTCTATTCAGATTAAGGAGGAAAGTTGTTTCCAACTCTTTTCTTCTTTCACTTTTTGATCACTAGAAGTTTATGATACATATTCCACTTACTTTGACTTTAAGGTGTAATTACTACGGAAATTACGGAGTCGCAAAAGGATTTGACCCTCAGTCTGCTGCCAATGTTTTGAAAGGCACCGATACGCTTTATTTAATTCGAGGAAAACATTTTACTTCTAAAAAACCACTGAAGTTAACGGATTCCACGGTTAATGAGGAAAAGCCCATCAAGCATCGGCTTTGCCCACCTCCAGCTTATCTGTTGACAATATGAGCTAACTTACCACAGTTTTTCAAAGTGATTTAATGAATCCACCTTACAGACTTATTTAAAAATTTTCACACCTATTTTTCCCATTTCACCTCGAGTGAAGCAAAAGATGCTTCCTGAAACAATTATACTTGCTGTACGACTGTACTCTGAGTCGCCACTTGCAGGCCTGGATTGGACACGGTGCGACAAAGTTTTACATCTACCACCACAGTATTTCAAAAGAAGTCGACACTTTATTAAAGATTTACGAGAACGACCCAAATATTGAGATTGAACGGGTGCTTTGGGGTCTGTTACCTGTACCAAAATACATTTCTTATGAAGAGGATCCGAATAACCATATAATGCATTTTGAGGTGGTTTAATGTACAACCAGCATTTTTGATAAATTTGGAACTCTTCTAAGTATGAGACTAAGAGCTTCTACCGAAGTTCTTTGTAGCAAATTCTTGGCTGGAACAATTGCATTCTTCGTGCTAGAGGAAAAACTAAATATTTAGCACTATCTGATTTTGATGAAACCTTCGTTGTATTCACAAGCCAAACGTTGCTGTCAGTGCTTGATGAGGTGGTGAAGAAAGATCCAGACGCTGGTTCTTTCATGTTCAGAAATACATTTGGAGAATTCAAGGTTATACTGTTTAATTTTTTATCAAATCCGGCATCTCAGTTCTGTGTCTGATTGGAAAATTTTTTAAAAACTTGCATCTGTTCGTTATTAATTTTATTATACAAAAGGTAAGAGCTGTGTTTATTAAATTTTTCATTAAGAACGTCTACCTCAATGTGAAAAACCCCACTGAAATACGTTTTGATGTCTTTGAGAAAGTCAAAGTAGAAAGAAGAACATCGCGACTTTTTGAAAAAAGTAAGGTAAATTCTAGCTACTGCTGAAAGCTCGAACTAACAAGCAAAAAAGAAACAATTCGAATCAACAAGCAAAAAAGATAGGAAATTAGCCACAGTTATCACCACCTTCCCCATAAGTGACCTTGCTTTCTAAAGAACTGTTTAGGTGATTGTCATCCCAGAACGAGTTAAAATGCAGCAAATACACTACACGAGATTAATGGAGACTTTTTACAGTAAACGATACATCCCCCCAAATATCAGCAAGTTCTTTCATTTTAGGTTGTAAGCTTCAAAATCATAAAGTAACTTTTTCTTGTACAATTTTTCTTATACTGAATTATTGAAAACAAATTTTCTTTTCTTCCCAGCATTTCTTTCTTTTTCTAAACACAGATAATTATCAGATTATTATCTTGGAGTGAAAAAGAGCTGCTAGCTTCCGATAACACTCTGGCTAGACAAGTACCCAAATGGAATTTAAGGTACAGAAGGATGCTAGAAGGGGAAATAGGACGACTTGAGGAAGTTAACTGCACTGACGACCTTACATTAAAGACGAATTGGTGGACTAATATTAGCCTTAAGGTACTGCGACTTCCATGCACTTTTATAAAGATTTAATTTCTTGATTTCTTTACTACTTGTAATTAATAACTTAAATGCAAGGAGTACGAAAAGCACGAGTCTATTAAGCAATTTATAAAAAACGTATGAAGCAGTTTTACTGCAGATGCTTTGATAAACAGCAGCTAGAAGTTTTTCTAGTAATTTCACAAAAAACTTCGCTAGTCGGGTGTTTAATGAGGCAAAGTCGGCTGGGAAATTTCTACTCGTACTTGATCTATGATTTGCAGCTGAAGCTTTCATGTTTATCTCGGACAGTTGTTGCTTGGCTGCTGTCACCTGCTTTTTCTAAGTGTGCACCAGTCTTTAGTGAAAACTTAAATTTGTTCTAATTCTTTCAACACAATATGACCGTCTCTGTTCATGGCAAACGGTCGTCTTGAACAGTAGTTTCCAGTAAATAAGTTCCAATCGCTTAAGCAAGCTGCATTTAAGCCGACAAACAACCGAGTGTCTGGCTACAATTAAAAAACAGTAACTGCTGCCAGCAGTAACTCGTCATTTCCACAAATTTTTTTCAAAACTAAAAGTTAGCTCGACAAAAAATAAACTTCAAATTCTCCCCCTTCTCCCCCTCCTAGTTCCTGTAACGCCATTTACTAGTTAGTCAAGTTTAAGACTGATCAAGGGTTTTAGCAAAAAACTGTGCAAAAGTACACGTGGCGTTTTTCCATAATAAAAGTCTAACAAAAAGTTGCGTCACTTGGAAAGGCTTTTGGTAAACATGATATATCAAAAATGTGGATGGTAGTCTTGCTGCAGGTGATGAAAGACCTCGCAAAATGTTACTTTGTTCTTTATCGAAACTGAAGCCTTTCATGCCCTTAGGAATACAAGTGCACAGACAATTTGTATAATATGAGCAGAAGTGATTGGCTCTACAGCAGCAATGCATGGGTAGTCCTCTGAAAATTTTTACACTTTGTAGTCAGTTACTGCATATATCTGATTAAAAAGTTTTATATCATAAAGACTTTTGAAAACTAAACACCCAGAAGTGCACTCTAAAATGCATCGTTCCGTCAGCAATATAAAACACAGTCGCCCAACTATTTAACAACGCATTTTTCATCTATACTTTCTTGCCAAAGCTTGTGGGCAAAGAAAAATGTCTTTTTACTTTACTTCCGCAAAAATTTAAATTTCATTGACGAAGACAAAAAAAAAATGGATTTAGCACCACTTCATCAACCACCATAAAATGACTAATTTTCTAGGTTAACAAAAATCACTTTTTCCTCATTCGTTCTTTGAAGCCAGGTTGTGAGCACGATCAACATTTTGAGCCTCCGTAGACAAGTTTGTGCTCTTTTTTATATAGATTTTCGATACCATCCTTACTCTTTAACTTGTTTTCTCTACGTACATTGATCAGCAGCTCTTTTGATTCAAGCAATGTAGAAACCATTTGACCTGCTGGAACGTCTTCAACTGTTACGTGATGATATTACTCCATCAGAGTAGAACCGATTGCTTTTTTAGGACGATATACTCCACAGTTAACTGCTAATATTACTTAACTTACTTGTCTGATGGTTTTGAGAACAAGAAAGTAGTAAAGCCGTGTTTTATTATCTTTTACTTGCCGATTACACTAAAGCCTGCTTTACGCACATGATAAAAAAACATCTGGTGAAGTATCTCACTAGTAGTGGAAGAAGCTTCAGTCACAGGTGAACAAAATTATATGGGCAGCACTACGAAAACCTATCCTGCTTCCCGTATAGCAAGATGAGGACGGAGATGCACTGTTACCAAAACCACACTCTCTCAGGTAACAGGGTACAATCGCTACACTAAGAAGCCAATAACAGCGCTGTGTATATCTGCCGTTGCGACCCCAAATTTGACTATATATAAATTCACATTACAAATAAAAGAAACATTAAAAAAGTGCATTGAAGAAGTATGAAAATTGCAATTTTATACCTTACGGATGCACAAAATCGTAGCCATTTGCCGGCAGGAGGGGGATAACAAAATGCCTAATACTCCCGTGAAGTGTGTTTGCTATAACTTCTGCTAAATTAACAGTGATCCAATAAGCTTAAAAGTTAAGACGTAAGAGTAAAGTTATAAATATTTAAACAAATGGTGAAAATAATGCTAGAAAGTGTTGGCAGGAGGCACTGAGGCCTCAAAAAAGACAAACAGAAAGAACATTAGACAAAACGTTGCCAGTTAATCTGACTACGAACCATAAGATTATGCGCCATTGGCGAAAGGATTTTGTAAAAAGTTACGAAAGTTAAAACATCTAGTTTGTAATACATGGTTAAGAAGTCAGCAACGGGTGCATAGAAAAGTTTAAAGCTCTCAAAGATGAATCTGTTGTACAAAACATTGGAAAAGGTTAACGGTAAGATGAAGCATAGTTAAAATTGCTCAAACGTATCACAACACTGCCAGAAAACCTACGTCTTTAATTATTATCGCTCTTTAACCCTCTAGTATAAGTGTAAATATCCTTCTGGATGCCTGTAGTAAGCGTCTTCTGTCTTATCTTTCTTCCCAGTCCCCTTGTTCATTTCTCCGTACCCCCTATAGCGGACATTTAATGACTAGAAATTCCCCTCTTCCGGTAGCTGAGGACCTTAAAACAGAAAACGATGGTAAAAATTACAATTCCGCTTCGTGTCGACATTATCTGACACTTTTCTACCCTGAGAACCCATAAACCACTTTTCAAAACAAAGCCTCTCTTCTACACAAATGTCATCAATAATTGACATAATGAAACCATCTCAGAATTATCTTGAAAAAACCCCTTCTGACAAATTTCCCTTGACCATATACTATTTCACTGACTTCCTGCAGCAGTCTTGTAAGTTCGCACCAATGCTACAAATTTGGCTGAAGTATGTTATGCAAAGATAAAAGACATTTCCTCCCTAAACTAGAAATCCAAAACTAATGCCTTATTCCCTGCCAACAAAATATATTCAATTCCTGAATCGCCTTTTCCGTCCCAGTAACAAGAGTACGCTCAGTTTGCTGCTGAAACAACATTTTATCCAACCTCTTTTCTGCAACACTTGCTATGTGATTCGAATGAAACACTCCAGTATGGAATGATTCTCACCACTAGAAAATGGCTGCCGTGAGCAAACTTAACCTTAATATCTCCCGCTGAATCACACCTTCATACACTAAAAAACTTTATAGTCATTCTAGTGACAGCGTTATACTCGGCGATTGACGTACGAACCAGATCAGCAGAACGGTGCACAGTAATCCTAAGCCAGAAACAGTTGGCTGTAGTTTTTGCAAAAAATATTTCGTTCTAAAAATACCCGACTAACAAAACCCTTTGTTGCAAAGTTTCCCTTGATATTTACCTAAAGAAGCTACTCAAGCAGTTTAAGTGAGGAACAACTTTTATGCACAAATCTTTGAGGATCGCTAAAAAAAGAAAAGAGAGACGCAGTGTTAAAGAGACAGGACAGAACCTGTCATAAAATCTTTATCAATATCTAAATGATTTATAAGACTGATGAGATCCATAACAAACTGGAAAATTTGACGGAACAATATCACCTCTCTTCTAAAATCTACAAAAAAAAAGAAAAAAATGAAGGCAATGTACACAAAAATGAGAATAACTTTTAAATTCCAAGTACATTAGTTACCAAGTAACATTTAAGTAAAAGAAGAAATTATTTGGTAAAGACACTTCGCTAGAAATTTCCCGTACAATGGCCGAAAAGATAACTTTCCTTGACAAAGCCAAAAAAACCCATCGTTATCATGCGATATAAAAGATTAAAAGTTCAAACTACATGGTAAACCCGAACAATTTCACAGTTACATCGCGATCACGGCTATCGTTTGTAGGCGCCGATGCAAACGCAAGCAAGTACTCGTTTGGGTGCCATGAACAAGTGAAGGTTTCAGCATTAACGCGCAACTCATGAACTCTGAATTAAAAAAATTTAGTAATTTACACAGGAATCCACTAATACGATCCTTCGAAATTATAAGTGAATTATAAAAAAATTGCTCTGCCCTTAACCTCTCTCCAGTTTCGGCCCACGCGATATCAATAAACTGATCTTCGCTTGCAGTGGCAATTAGATTGCTGTTGACACTAAACGAAATTGAACGAAGCGGATAGTCTAGCCTAAAATAACTCAATTAAAAGAAGGAATGAAGCAGGAAGGAAGTAAATATCGGCAGAGTTGGTGAGGATTTTCTTAAAGAATTAATGAGCATAAAGGAACCTCCCGAGTGTGGTACAGCATATCAACTGCTTAGAATCCCATACAGAACACAAAGCGTCTGAAGCTCCAATTGCAAAAAACTTTCCGTTAGGAGCGACTGCCACGCAAACGCAAGTCGACTGAGGTGAGTGAGCTTGAATGCTTCGTATACGTTCCATCTCTGGCATCCTTAAAGGAATGTTTTGTGAAAAACAGCCTCATAAAAAATTGGCGATGAAGTAAGTGAAGAACTTTTCGATAGGTACACTATCTACAAAAATACCATATTAGAAGACCAGGAAAAAACGAAATTACGGTTCCTAACATTGTCAAACTGAATTCATTAAACATCATGATACGAGCAGAATATTAGATTCAAACAAATGAAGTCCGCAAGACATCTTTACTTTATAGCATGTTTCACCAAAAAAAGTTAACCGATAGATACTAAATCGACCTCCACCATGAGCAACGAGTAAATGTTTTCCTGTGGGCTCAAATGCAAATTCATTCGTCTCTTCGCGCAAAGCTTCAGAACGCAGGTTTTTAAGCGTTCGGGAATCGACCATGTAGATGGTGTCCTCTTTGTCACCATATAAAAAGTATGTTCCACATGGGGACCAAGCAACATTCAAATTCTGCGCTAAAGGTTTTTTAACAATTATTTTCAAGGGTTTTTTAAAAACTGACTCCATTGCGTCATGAGCCGTAACTCACGTTTAATACCCACCAAATCTAGAACCCTGTTAAAAATTTATTATTTTAGGAAATCAACTTGAAAAATATTCAACGCAGCAAAAATCCTTCCAAGAAAACTAACACTTAGTAGGCATTTTCGTATGTGTTAGTGTCTGTCTAATATCCCATAAACGTATTGTCCGATCGGAGCTCGCAGAGGCTAAGATATGGGTGTTACTAGGGTGAAAAGCTACGTGATCAACTTGTTCTCCGTGCCCGAATCCAAGAAACAAATCTTTCTAAAAATAAACCTTTCACTGCATTATGAAGTTCAGAAACCAACTAGTAATTAAGTTGACAATATTACAATTCGGCGGTACAGCAGACAATTGAAAAAGGTCCGATCAAAAAACTCTGATACTTACAATATGATGTGAGCTATCAAAAGTAGCCACTGCAACACTCTTTTCAGCTCCAGAAGCCAGCCGAGTACCGTCACAATTCCACGACAGTGTCAACGGCCGAGGGACCTATAAAACAAGGATGAGTACCGAATAAGCAAACAGTTTCGCTGAATAAAAAAAGAAGAACACTCATTTATCAACAAGAAATCCAAAAAAGAAAGCAAGAAATAGAAATAAAAGGTTTTTTACAATAAACGTGACAAACTGTACAATGTCATAAAATTCCAAGCAAACTAACTAAAAACAAACAGTTTCTCTGACCTGAAAAACCTTAAAAAACAAAGCCTTCCTAACGGCGAAGAAAGAAACACGTTGACAGCTAACAATCACTAAAAAAGTTAAAGGGAAAAATACGTAAGACCCCATGTTACCTTCATTTCTAAAACTTTTGAGCGGTCATTTTTGCTGAAATGCCCTATAGCCTCATCAACTGATTTAAGACTCGCTGCGCTCGCTGGTCCATTTCTTCGGGACGACGGTGGTGCATTTCTACGGCCCATAAATCCGTTCTTAAAAAAGTTCTCAAACGTGATAAAAATGTACCTTAGACGATCCAATCCGTATTTCCGTAAAGACCGAATTCATTTTCAAAAAAATTTTAATTTGTAAACTCCAGTTTCTCACTGAACAGAAATTAATGTGTAATTTTTTAGGCCAACCAAAGACAAGTGCTGCAGATGGCGAGATGTAGAATATTATCAAGAGAAAGTCAACAGTAACTGTTGTGACTCTAATTAAAAAATCCTGTTAAAAATTTTAATGTACAATCAAAATTTTAGTTTTCCAACTTTTAGCTTCAATTTACTTATTTCCCACAAATGTCTTCACATTTCTAAATAATAGTTGACTAATAGGCTAATTTAAAACTGTTCAGGGAAACATTATTTCAAGTTCCTCTCACCCTAATGGATTCTGACTCTGTCTTCAACTACTGTACTTGTCTTACAACAAGTACAAGTCCCTGGTACGCGAAAAATCCTAGGTAAAAGTTTTTCTAGGATTATATCGCAGACGACATTCATATTAACTTTGCATAACCAGACAAAAAAATTGGACGTAAAAAAATGAGTAGACAAACTTAAAATTTTTATTACACACTTTGAAGGCACATGAATAGTCATAAAAACATAAGCAAACAGATACAGATACAGTGAGTACCATACAGACATTTCTCAAACTTCATTATTTGACCATGACCCTTAATTCTCTGAGAAACCATCGCAAACAGTAATGCACACCGCTATATGTACGCCACAAAAGGTTGACCTGAACTAAAAGACCCAAAAAAGCAGTACAACCTTATACGGAGCAACGAAATAAGCGCAGTCATAACTCACAATCTTGGCACTAATTTTCAATTTTCAATTCTATAATTCTGACTGCCCCGCACTTTTCTATTAATAATAGAGCACTGTGCAGCAGAATTAACTACCAGAACATGCAAGTGGAGTCAAAAACCAGAGATTTTTTTAGTATCGTTTTCGGAAACAGTTCGCTAGAATACCATTCTGCGTTACCAAAATCAGTATTCAATCGTTCGTCACCGCTTTTAATACAGATACAGACATGTTTAGCAGTCAAGCCTTTTCCCTTGTGTGGATGTAATTTTTCCAACTTTCGTGAAAAACTGTCAAAAATCTTCAAAACATTTCTTCACATTTGGAAAAAGCACTTTACATGAGGAGAGAATTATAATGAGTGCCTGCAACCGAAGCATTGCTCCATCCTCCAAAAATTTGGGAAGGCCCGAAAAAAAAATATATCTATATAGTTTTTCATTCTATTCAGGTCAATAATTCTAAAACGAGATGAACGAAATACACTAAACTAATGCGTTTTCATGTCTAAACTGTATAAAGTAAAAAATTGTAAAAATGAATGTAAATATACTCTAGAATTCGAGACTAAACCTAATTATACTCTTCAAAAGTTATGGTGATAAAAAGTCCCGCGGAACTGGCGGGATGCCAGCTCCAAATTTTTTTCGGTGGAAGAATCGTAAGTGGAAGTTATAGAAGGATTGGTATCTATCAGTATACCGTTTTTTTTTTTTTTTTCCTGCAAATAACTTGTTTGTTCTCTCGTTTTCAATCGAGTTTCGCTATCATTATTTCGTTTTAAATTGGTTTCTTTAAGGTGTTCACATTTTCCGAATTCCTGGTTCTTCACTGCAACTGGTACCTTTTAATTTATCAAATCTCCTTTTTAAAATTACATATCAAGAACTCAGACTTACTAACAGCACTCCATAAAGGCTTTGCTGACCAATTTTCTATCGCCCATCGTTTTGGGGCTGGATCTTTTATGATATTTTAGCCTGTATAAGCTGGTGATCCAAACTTTTAAAATTATATAGATCTTGCTTTTTTAGCTTTACCGGACTCAGATGCAGATTTGCATAACTGTTTTTTATTTTTTTTCCCTTCTTTTTTTTGTTAGTAACGCTTCTTATAGATAAGAAGCTGCTTTTACGATGAATGGTCCTTCCATAAATCACTCTGTATAAGTCGCCACTGATTGTCAAGACAGAAGCGATAACAGCTGAGAGGTAGTCTAATGAATGCCTAGCGGTTGACCTCGCAGAATGTCTTCTGGGCATTTTTAGAATCAAAAACAGCAGTTTTTTAGAGGAATTTTTAGTCTTGTCCATCTTCACCTCCGCTTTACAAACTTTACTTCCCCGACAGGACTGCTTAGGTAACGGAGATACTTGCGTCGTGCATTATTCGCGCTAAACGGCCCAGACTTATCTTGTATTTTAGTGCATCCATTTTAATTGCAGTGGTAGGAGTATTTGTCACGTGATCGGTTATATACGATCCTAACCTTCCAGGGCGTGAACTCATATGCTACAGTACGGATTTTTAAAGTAAAGAAAGGCTTTGGAGTTCTGTAAAATGCAGAAACAAATTACTTCAAAGGAGCATTCAAATGCTCCACAGACATTTGCCTGATTCTTTTTCTGTAGCTGGAACTTAATCCCATAGAACAAATTTGTGGTGAAATTAGTGAAAGCGATGTGCAATTTCAGAATGTCTGTGAATCACGCGATATAAGTTTATAAAAGAAAATGACAGTTGCATGTTCAAAACACTTGATTAAGGCCCTATTCTAAAAACTTAAGTGTCTTGCGCAAAATTTTAAGCTTTTATTTGAATACAACTATTTTTCCTTATTTCAAAAGCATAAGGTTTATAGATTCTAAAACCTGAGGTCATACTTCCAAATTTATAAATCATGTATTGTTTTGCTCCATTGGCGTATTATGAAAAATTGGAGTTTAAAGCCACATACGACGAAACACCATTTATAACAAGTCTTCAACGACTAGATGGTAATAAGGCCTTAGCATATGGAACTGTAGAGCAATTTCTTTGCATCAGTTGCTACTAAAATTTACTATGGAAGTTGTCGGCAAGCTTGAACATACATGCAATATAAAGGAACTGTACAGAATGTGCACTGGAACTTCGCCAAAACGGAAAAAAATTTTCCTTGCAGAAATTCGGGACGTCGAGTGAACTGGATATGGCTTTGGTTTCTATGAATGAAGCAAAGTCTGTGGATGTTTCCTTTTGCTACAATTATTGTACAATTATATATACCGGAGCAAAAACTGCGTTTTTTCCACTTCTTACGGATAGGAACAAAATTTATCAAATGAATTTTTTGAATTATTTTATTACATGTAAACAGCAAGGTACCATTCAGTGGTGCTGGGTGAGCTGTAAACATACACTTTTTCCTGAAGTTAGTATAAAAGTTTCATGTCAAAACTTTTTAATGAATCTAAAGAACTCTGTTATCGATATTCAGGGACTCTGGTTTTTTGCTTTAAATTTTTCTGATTTGCTGCATTCAACTTCTTATGGAAATTTTTATGCCAACTCTACTTTGTGCGTACAAATTTTTGGAATCTGTTGCTAACTTTAGAAATTATATTTCAGGTTTTAAACGTTACAGCTTACATCTTTGTTTTTCCTGACGTCAGTATTTTATTTTGCTTCTTGGGCATCTTTGACTTATATGTATAGGCTTTTGAGTATATCAAATTCGTAGAGATCAGGGTAATTTTGATGAGAAGTTTCATTTATGATTTCTCTTTCTCCTCAAGTTATACATTAGATGATTTTTTTATTGAAATTATTGCGCAGTATAAGTTCTGGAGGTCTCATAGTGTGGCATGTGTGAGGATATATTTGATTCAGTCTTGCATTAAGTGTTTCCCCAAATGTAGGCGCAAACTTGAAGGTTGCGTATATTTTGCCCCAAGACAGGTACAAATGTACAAAACTATCTGAAGCAAAAAACTTGGTCAAGTGTTAGATTTTGAAAAAGTAGAAAAAGCTTGGCTGAAATCTTTTGAAATTGTGCTGGTAAGCTGTAGGCAATAAAAATCTGCTGTTGTTCTTTAATTCTTTTTTTTTGTTCTTGGTCTTTGTATTGCTCGATTTAATTTGAATTTATTCTTAGTAAAATCTTCTGGTATGGTATTTTTCAGGTTTGTTTATGGCTGCGGTTAAAAACTGGACGGGCGTTTCTTTTGAAGGTAACACATTTGAGTGCAAATTTTTTAGCTTTTGCTGATATACTTTTTTTAAAATTTTTTCTCTTTTAGATGGTAGTAGGAAGCCTATGTGTGGGTTGGCAAGAAATTAAGCTATTCTTAATAAATAATAGGTATTCGGGAACTTGTGTTGGTTCAACCTTATTTTACAGGTCTAGGAAGGTGCACTGACAAATTCCGTCTTTTACGCGTATTAGTGCAGCGTTTACATTAATAGCCCTGATTAGCACAGCACATTTCATCTTTTGTACATACTTCTCTTTTAAATTAAAAGTAGCTTGCTGTTCACCGACAGATTAAACCAATACCTAGTACTAAAGAATTAAAAGGATTTAGAACATTAGTAACTGTTGAGTATATTCTAAAACAGAGTAGGCAAGAAATAGGCAAAATCACCCTTAGTTTCTATGGAGTTTTAGACTTCTAAGAAATATTTGTTTGGGAAGTTTTATTTTGGGCTCTGGTTTGAAAAATTATTGCACAGGCAAAAAAATTGTTTGATATGAAATGAAATTAAATTTTATGGTTTGTTGGATTTCTGAAGCACTACTTCTGTGTTCTACTAAAAACGACAAAAAATTTTCTTCTTATTATTTATTTTAGAAGCGAGAATAACGTTAAGGCAATGGCGTGAAGAGCATGTTCGCCGTTCACAGGAAGTGGTAGAAATGTGGGAATTTGTTCTCAGTCGCCACCCCCATTCTTTGGGAGATGAACTCTGGGTAGTTTATGAGCAAGTTAGTTGCCTTAATGTTTCTTTCTACGTTGTGCCTTCTGTCCTCTGAAGGGCAGCCCTCCTTACCAGCTTCTGTCAAGCTTATTCTTTAGTGTTTGCTAGACTTGGTACTATGTGTTAAGTGCAATTGCAGATCTTTTACCACTATTTTCCTAGAAAAGGCGAAACACGAATTATTAAAAGAGAGGGATTTTCAGGTTTGTATTGCGGCTCTTGACTGCATGAGGACTGATTTGACTATGGCTTGTATTTGCGCTTTGGAGGAGAAGTTTCCACGGAGCAATCGTGTACGGAAGTTACAGGCAATGCGACTGGAGGCTGTTCAAAAGTACAGATGTTTTGAAATAACTTTCTTTTGTTATTCAAAGCTGTTACAGTTGCATTGTTTGCGCTTAGTAGCAAGTCGCTAGAAGTAAGAAGTGCTTTTATCAATTGGAAAAGAACAAGCTGTTATTTAATTAGAGTCATGTTTTTAGGTTTGACGAAGCCCTGCACATGTACGATCAATTGATTGAGTATGACCCTACTAATATGGTATGTCACATCTTTAGTCAGTTAGCCTTATTTATTTATACCTTATTGCTTTACCCGTGGATATTTGTCTCGCAAATTTTATTTTTTTTTTTTAGTCTTATAGGAAACGCAAAGCAGCTATTTTAAAAGCCAAAGGGGAGCGTTTGGAAGCGATCAAAGAGTTGAATGAATATCTAAAAACCTTCTTAAACGATAATGAAACTTGGTTGGAACTGTCAAGTTTGTATTTAAATGAAGGAGATTATGCCCGTGCTGCTCACTGCATGGAGGAGCTGATTCTTTCAAGCGTTCGTTTGTTCTAGGCTATTTAGATTTTGTGTCTGATTAATGGTGTAATATGACAGTTTGAATACAAAACAACTTTTAGCCTCATAATAGCCTTTACTTGCGGAGGCTTGGTGAAATAAGATATGCGCAAGGAGGGCAGGAGAATGTTGAGATTGCAAAAGCGTATTTTGAGCACGCTGTGAGAACTAACTCCTCATGTGTGCGTTCGTTGTATGGCTTGATACTGGTAAGTTGGAACAAACACGAAGTTTTCGTAGTTAATTATGTTGCTTTGTCTGCCGATCACCTGTTCTTTATTTTTTAGGCTTGTAACTGGTTGGCGCAGAAAGCTTCTGGCCAGAAGAAAAAGGAATACGTTCAGTGTGGTTCGGCTGCAGCAGAGAAGTTGTTACAAAGGTATAGTGAAATAGCCTCAGACGAGTTGAATTCAAATATAAATGCTCAAATAAAAGTAATTAAAGCCATGAAAGAGCAGTTTTGATAATAAATTTGTAGAGAAGATTTTGATTTTCGTCTCATCGGACCAAATGGACTTACTGTATTTATCAGTGTTTTGAAATATTTATCATATGAGCAGCTAACGCCATTTTGGGCTACTTTCATTTTCGTTTTGAACAGCGTGAAAGCGAAATAAAATTTTAAAGTTATCTCACTTGGGAGTGCTAAATTTTAATTTACATGGACTTGTCGGTTTTTTCAAGCTATAAATTTTAGTTTTTCTTGTTTGCGGTCTGTTGTTTGTTTTCTCAGTTTTGTGTTTTAATTTTATTTGCATGTTTTTCTGCTCTGTTGTTGATGCTACGCTGTATTTGTAAACTATGTATTTTGCTTTGAACTCATTGTTTTTCGTTATTCAGTGACTTTTTAGGTCCTGACGGGTTTTCACTTAAGCTTCTTTTTGGTAAATAGTTTTTCCTGAGAAATAATTTGTTATATTGCCACTTTAGATAGTTCTCGTGACATTTCAAGGGCGAGTCATAGAAGGAGTAGTAAGTGAAAGAGATTCTTTCTTAACTAATTTTATCGAAGAACTTTTTCTTATTTGTTTTGTTGAGCGAAATCATGTATAAAAGTTTCAAGTTGCCAGCATTTAGTGTATTTTAATGTACTTTGTTGAGCCTCTCTTAAATGAGTTGTGCTTGAAGAGTCGTTCTAGTGACTGAACTGAGGGCAAAAGAGTAGAATTTCTTCATCCTGTTATTGCCAAGTGTTGTCATGTTGTTATGACGTTTTTTAAATGAGAAGCTTTACTGTTGCTGTATTAATGTTTGTTTTTTATCACTCAGAGGAAGTATCATTCAAAGCCCTGGTGAGTTTATTTCTTTATATAGGAGGCTTACTAAAAGGTTATTCTGTAGGTGAATGATACGTGTTTGGATCTTACAGTAGTTGTGTAAAAACAGTCTTGTAATGTCTTTAAATGACTTAATAAAGTCGTTCGTTATTAAGTGATGAGCGGTAGTGTACTGTAAGTTTTTCAAAAATTTTGAAGAAGCAAAGTAGCTGCGAATGGTTTTTGATTCTTTTCCCTGCATTCGTTTTTTGACTTAATAAGCTTTATTTAGATACCAGTGGGCAGATCTTGATTTAAGAAAGCTTGGATTTTTACTAAGGGGGTGGATTAGTTTTAATTTTAGTTATAGATGAGTTAAGAGAAATTGGTTTTAGTAATCTGTTCAATCCATTGAGAAGATATTGTGGAATATCACCCTGCAGAGAATCGGCAAGTAATTGTGACGAGGGTTCTTGATTGGTGCGTTTTTTTCACTAAAGGTTTTGTATGCTAAAAAAGAATTTGTAAGGGGTTGTAGCGGATGTGTGACTGAAAAGCATGGAGGAAAGGAGAGACATATCTTCGGGATGAAACTATTTTGATGCGGGGTGGAAAAGAGAGACATGAAGGGGAATCAAAAGTTCACTTCTGTATTTTTATAGGTGTATATTCATTAAGTGTTTTGTAGTGAATAATTTTGAGCGTTTGGAGTGGTATTATTTTTTAAGTCCGCGCAATGCGTCTTGACCGCTTATTCGTGATGAGTAGTGGTGAAATAAGTTAGCAAGCTCAGGAGTGAAAAATGTTAAGGAAATTGGTCAATATATGGATTATTCGAAAATCGAATAATATCCAATAAGTGTCAACAGTTTAATTGCATAGATTTTTATTGGCTTTTCAAAAATTGATTATCCATATCGATTCTGCTAGTGGATGGCTTTTATTGAACACGGAGGCAGCAAACAATCCAATATGCAGCTCTTCTCTTCCAGCATCTGAGGTGTCAGTGTTCTTTTTGCACTCTTTTCATTGCTTTCTGAAATGTTCGGCAAATTTTCGATAAATTAGCGCATTCCCAAAAATATATTTAAAAAAATACATTTTATCGGTTCTTCTAACAGCCGTTGACGTATTGATTACCATTAGTGGTTAGTCTCGGTTAAAAAAGATGAGGGCTGTGTATGGGCGTTTTTTCCTATGTCTGTTTTTGGCATCAAAATGACATCTTCATTACCAGTTTTTTAGTGGATTTTTTTGTTAAAAGAGAAGAAGTGACGAACAAAGAAGTTGGAAGTGAAAATGGAGAACTGCTTTTGATTGTTACAGAATCAGTTTTTCAACAGCTTTCACAGTTTTTAACAAAGAATAATGGAAAGGAAAAAGGAAGTCTTACAAAATTCAGTATATCACATTTCTGAGACCTTTCTTAAAGAACGATAAAAATTTCTTGCAATAACGAGCACCCAAAACTTGACCGCAATATCCTGTTTAGAAAAGTAAAGATATTAGGGATCTTTTTATTCTTCGTGTCTGATTTACTTTTGCCATTTCCTGGACAATCGCTGAAATAGGCCGGAACTTGAAGTTAGCGTAGGCGATAGTGCCTAAAATTGAATAATCAATTTTTTTTAAACTGGGATTACCAAATTGGGAGCTATTTCTTTGGATAATTAGTTTGTTGATACGGCTATCGTTATGAAAAGTTTTATCTGTAGTAATCGTTTTATTATTAGCTATTTGTACTGGGAGGCGTTTTATATATATATATATAAAAGGTTAGGCGACTACTGAAATATGAGGAAACAATTTGGTGATGTTGTTTAACTTTTTTAATACAGAAAACTTTTATTTGCAACTTTTTATCGTTTTTAATCTCATTGTTTAATTGATATTTCAGTTATTTTACTTTTTAAAGTCTCTTTTACATACAACCAACAAACACTAAAAAAATTTCTTCAGAAAAAGAGGATACCAAAAAAATTTTGCATTTTTTATTTTATCGTTAATTTTAATCTATTTTATTAAATTGGACAGATTTAAAAGTATTTACTGTATTTTAGGGACAAAAAATTTTCCTTGCTTAGTGCTTCTTCTGTAAAATATATCCTATGTTCTTAACGGATGCAATTAATTTGTTATGGATTCTGTTGTCATTTGGTGTATTGTTGCCTGGACTTTATGAAATCTTTTTTCCAAACAATTCTGGTAAGT